CTGCGAAGCCCCATTTCTGAGTAAGGGTCTAGGCCCGAAACGTCAGCATTCCTGCTCCTCTGATGCTGCTTGGCCTGCTGTGCTCATCCAGCTCTACACCTTGTTAACTCTATTGGCTATGGTTCCTGTGGAAACAGAGACATGACTGTAAAAATACTGTAACGGCTAGTACCAGAGGCGGTAATAGTTCCAACCTGGATATATATGTAGATGAATTGATTCTCACTTTAGGAAATCAACTCATTAATCCAATGTAACACCATTGAGTGACGTTGACTTTTCTTTGCAATAACACCACACACATTTCTTAACTGCTTCAAGCATACAGTGACAGTTCTACAAAGGGAATAATCGTTACATACCTGTCATCTTTTGCGATGGAATTAGGTGGCAAATTAATATTTTATTTAAACACATTAGACCTCTTGATCTTTTTGGTTCACCGCACAAATATTCAATTGGGAATCTGGGTGGGTAATAATGGGGCTCCACTTCCTTCCAGCAATTGGTTTACTCTAAAAACCCGTGAAGACTGTATGTCCCTTCACAGCAGCAGCCGAAAGGCTGGCTCTGCCAACATGCTCACTCCTCAGGTCCGAGTTCGCGGCTCGCTTGCCTCACTAGCGGCCGAACTCGCTCGTAGAACAGCAGGTAGGCGTTGGAGGCAAGGACTTCCTGCGGGCTGGCTCTGCGTACCGTGTCGTCCGATATCCACAGCCAATGGTTGCTCACTGCTGCTGGGTTCTTTGACGCCGATGGCGAGCGACGGTAGGTGACAAAGTGGCCTGAGTGGATGTCACCGTGATGGACAACCACTGACATCAGTCGGAACAAATACATCGACGAGCTGAGGGAATGAAGCAGAATATTAGACTCACACTGGGAAGAAAGGTTCTCTTTTACCTTCCTTGCCCCCAGCTCCAATGGACATTTACTCAGTGGGTGATCTCCAAGATCTCAGTGAAAACTCCAATCTCAATAATGTCAGAGTAAGAGTGGCTTAACAGCAGTTTGGAATTATCATGCTGTTGCCCATCCCTTCTTGGTAGAATTGAGACCTTCTGTTCAGTAAATAATGCCGGGTCTGATGGTAAAAGTTGCACCATTTCTATTGATATTTTATTCCGGCCATACAAAGGCTGCAACAAGTCACTACAAGACAAGCTGCAATAATTCTTTTTTATTTATAGAATCCCTACAGTGTGGAAACAGGCCCTTTGGCCCAACAAGTCCACACCGAACCTCAAAGCATCCCACCCATCCCGGGGGTGGGGGGAGGTGGGGGAAGGCGGGGGGGGGGGGGGGGGGCAGGGTGCGCAACACGGTGGCACAGTGGTTAGCACTACTGCCTCACAGCCCAGGGGCCTGGGTTCGATTCCGGGGACAAGCTAATTAGCCATCGTCCACAAAGTACCATAAGACAGCGAGAGACAATTGGCTATAAATGGTTTGAGGAGCTCCACTTGGTAAGGGTGGGGTAATGTCAGGAGTCAGGCCTCCAGGACCTACCGCAGCCCCTACAGGGACAGGATCTGAGTTCTAACCCCATCAAGCTTATTGTACTCACCAGCCACTTCACGGGAAGCACTTACATTAACAGGAAAAGTGTTATTCTATTGTATACACAGAACGATGCAGTACAGGCCATTCAGCCCAACCAGCCTGATCCAGTTCTTTGACAGAGTGAACCAATTCTTCTCACTCTCTTGCTCTTTCCCCATTGGCCTGCAACATTTTCCTCTTCCAGAAGATAATGAGCTCAATTCTCGGTCATTATCTTTTGCCATTAAAAGAACATTATTATTTAACTCAGAGGATCTTTAATGACAGAAATCCAGTACTGCCACTGAGCAGTGCCACACTCATCCCTGAAACCCAACTGAAGCATCAAGTGACTCTTTGATGGTCATGTAGTTGCGTTTAGAACAAAAATAAAATTCAAGTTTTGGGAGAATAAAAAAACTGTAACTAGAAAGACTCACGCATAACTTTGTGTAACAGGAGATGGTGAGGTTGCAAAAGAAGTTGACAGCAGGGATGATGAGCATGCTCCATTTGCAACTTGCATTTTACCGAGGCTGGGCTGTGTGGATCCTGAAAGGAGGCAATCAGGGAAATAAAAGAACTTAAAGTATCATTTTTGAAGTGATTCACTGATAACTGCTGGGAGGCAATGACATGTTTAAAAGTACAGACAACAGCACTTGTAAATAATTGACTGGTATGACGGTTGTATTCAAAGCAGATTGCAATCATTCTATACACATAAAATCAAACCGGAACTCTGAAATAAAGGAAATGCCAGGTGGATCCGTTAGTGGCCGCAATAAACACCTATGGCCATTCTGCACTGATTGGTTTAATTTCCTGGTCCATAAGCATTACACCTTTATCCTGTTTGAAGAATGTGTCTGATTTGGGAGATGTTTGACAGAGGACCTACAATTAGTTGCTTGGGGGACATTCCTTCAATTATTCCTTGTTCCTCTCTCCCTGCAGAGAAACATCTGACCTGCCATCAACGGCAACATACATCCGTAACTCAGAAGGTGGGTGGAGTTGGGAACTCACATCCCTGCACACCGGTTAACGGAAGGTTGGCAGTGTTCTAACATAAGCCCCTCATCTTACGGAGTGTAAAAAGCACACAGCACCTCCATGCCACCTTGGTATGGTTTTATGAGAAATTAATTTTGCGATTACTATCTTCCTGGAGTTGTATATACCCAAATAGGTCATGCCCTTTGAAATTGGTTTTTCTACCACATTAACAAAATGATCAAATGGCTTGGCACTTGGAACCTGATGCTGAATAAATCCTCTTTGCCCAAAGAGTGGTGAGAATGTCGTAAGCTCTATCATAGGAGTGTCTGAATAAAATTTAAGGAGAAACTGGACAAGCATGTGAGAGATTTTTGGAATGATAGATATAGCTGAGGAAAATGGGTGGATTGTTGAGTGTAAGAGAAACACCTGTCGAGTCAAGCAGCCAGCTTCAATGCCATATATCCTGTTTTCATTCTATAGAATGAAACAGATGTTTGGAGCAAAGCTGTTTTCTTCGAAGTTAGAAAATATTATAGCCAAGTCTGTAGCTGAATGTTCAGCTTTAATCTTCACCCTTTTAATACGTGGGCATTACTGGTTTGGCCAGCCCTAACTGCCCTGGAGAAGATGGATGTAAACCACCTTCCTCAACTGCAGCAGTCCACGAGATCAAGGTACAGCCACAGTGACCTCAGGGAGGCAATTTAACCCAACCACAGTGAAGCAATAGTGATATAGTTTCAAGTCAGGATGGTCTGTTGATTGGAGAGGAACCTGTAAGTGGTGGTGTTCCTATGCATCTGATGCCCTTGTCCTTCTAGGTGGTAGAGGTCACAGGTTTGGAAGGTATTGCTGAAGCAGTCTTAGAGGGTTGCTACATACTGTATGTGAATGTTGAAAGTGGTGAACGTGGTGCCAATCAAGTGAGTTTTTTTTTCTCCTGGATGATGCAGATCTTCTTCAGTATTGTTGGAACTGCATTCAACCTGGAAAGTGAAGCATTTAGATCAGACTCTTGGACTTTTTCAGAGGTGGACAGATTCTAGGGAGTCAGGTGAGTTACTCAGCACAGGATTCCCTCTGTACTGAGTTCAGTGGTTATTGGCGGAGAAACTGAAGGTGGTGAAGAGCAATGAGAGAGGAGTGAGGTGGGAGGGCATATGGTAACAACCTTAATGCACCCGAGGTAAGGGCTTGTAAAGGTCAACCAGAAGATGGTGGACGAGTCACACTATTACCTTCCACATTCCAGGGACAGGGCTGCAGTGACCAGTCCTCGGTCTAATCTGGCTCACCAGTTGGAATGAGTTTATTCAGAGGAAGCAGGATGGAGGTGAGATGAAGCAGCCTCCATGACTGAACAGACAGCTAGAGCCTGAAGAATGGCCAGTTGAATGGGCCTGCTCTGTGTAATAATGAATCAGTTGGGAGCAGCTAGAGAGGAGAAAATTGAAGGAACAAAATGTATCTCCTGGTAGGCTGGAGTAGTGACATAGTAACAGAATGATACATTCGCCAAAAGAATTAACTTCAACTTATGAGAAACCTTAATAAAAAAAACAACTTGAGGTAGAGCCTCCTGGCTTTGGTTTTAAATGCTGCCCGATGAGTTTCCTGTTAATATGGTGAGTACCTGGCTTGGTGCCCTCTAGCATTCGTGGTAAACTCCCTGTGCTGGCCGGTCTGCTCATTCTGCGCTGGCCCAGCCTCTGAGATGGGCTGCGGTACTTGTAGGTATCGAGTGAGAGGAGCTCACTGAACTGCACATGCTCATTGCGTTTCAGGGGCGTCCCATGGTTGGACCACGAGAGCCTTTGCAGATGGATACACAGGCACTGAGGAAGCTTAGGAAAAAAAAGACAAAGAAGATATCAGGGGGAACTGTCCCCAATTTCATCTTTCTCATGCTTTCTCACCTAATGGCACGGACTCCTATCTGGGATCCTGTTTCTCAAACATCAGTTTCCCTTTCAAGGTGAGGAATAATGCCCACTCCAGCTTGTATTTATGTAGCACCTTTAATATAGTAAAGCATCTCAAGGTGCTGTACAGGAACGATTATCAAATAAAATTTGACACCAAGTCATACAATGTGATACTAAACCAGGTGACCATACCCATAATTAAAGATTTCAGGAGCATTGTAAAGGTGAGAAAGGTTTGGAGAGAGGTGAGAAGGTTTAGGGAAGGCATTCCCACGGCAGCTGAATGCACAGTTGTTAACGAAATGATGAAAATTAGGGCGCACAAAAGTCAGCACTGGTGGGGTGCAGTGCTGAGGAGGAGGAATAAAATCGGGGCCCAAACCCCGTGCACATGTAAAGCAATCAGCTACTGCATAGCAATCAAAGGGGTTATAGCCTCCCTTTGCATTTCATAACTCAAGTGCAGCGGAAGTCAATTTACTCCTTCTTTGGTCACCCTGGATGAGATTGGTTCGTTCTTTCTTCAAAAAGGAAATTAGTTCAGACTAAAAAGTTGCCAATACTGTGCAGGAAAGGCAGTTTCTGTTCTGAACTTTTTAAAAAGTTACTTTGTAGACAATTGACTACTGAAATCAATTAAGTAAACAACTGTGATATTTTTTAACCTGCGGATCTGCTCCTTTTCCTCAACAATTTTAAAGCTGTTGTTTTCGATGAACTGTTTCTTCCCTTCTTGCTTGATTCGGTTTTCCAATTAATAACCTTTGACCTACAGCCAGGACATTGAATAACCTTGTTGGAGTTTCATTGATGCACAGTATAAATTGACAGGTGGCAGATGGGAAACAAGATCAAAAGGATGTATAATCTGAGGTTGTTGACTTGCTTGCCGAGCTGGCTTGTTCTCATTCAGACGTTTTGTCACCACGCTAAGTGACATCATCGGTGGAGCCTCTGATGAAGCGGTGTTATTCTACTCCACTTGGAATTTATACTAAGTAGAATAACACCGCTTCAACAGAGGCATGGTGATGAAACGTCTGAACGAAAACAAGCCAGCTCGGTGAGCAAGTCAACAACCTCACCCACAACCCGAGCTACAGATCTTTGCCAAAACTTTGGATGTATAATCTGCCTGAGTTCTGTGGGGTCTGCATGCCTTGCAGTATCTATAAAAAAAGAATTTGTGATTGTCAGATTCTAGTTTTGAGAAAAACAGAAACTGCTGAAGAAACTCAGCAGGTCTGGCAGCATCTGTGGAGAGAGAAACTGAGTTAACATTTCTTCAGAATCGGTCACTGCGACCCGAAACGTGAACTCTGCTTCTGTCTCCACAGATGCTGCCAGACCCAAGTTTCTCCAGAAATTTCGGATTATATTTCAAATTTCTAGTGTCCACTTTGTTCTATTTTTGTTTTGAGAAAGTCTGGACAGTGGCTTCAAAAGGGTGGAATGGAGTCAGAATTTGGACTTAAAGGAGGAATAATATGCAGCTGCGGCTAGAGACTGAGCAGATAGTCCACCCAGTGTGCAAGGTTATTTGGAGACCTACTGATGCATGCACCATGGGGGCTCTTCGGGAGCTACCTTGAACTATGATCAATTTGGGGTTACCACTCGTGCTATACTAAAGTTGTCCCTCTTTCTTAAAAAGAACTTTCTTTTATTCAAGTTATCTTTGTTTCTTGTTTTTATTGTTAATAATTGTTTAATTATATTGCTGTTTTCACACATTATTCAGTATTGAGTCACTGATCCCTCTTACTTCTATGGCTCCATATCTAAGCGGGTCTCCTCAAAGGACTCTCTCATCCTGCAAGAGGGACATTTTGTGTGGGCACATCGAGAAACCCTGTCATGGTGACAGCACGGATGCCCAATGTGTGTGAAAGGGCCGAGTGTGAACTCCACAACGTTACAGAATGCTGCTGACACTCAGTATCTAAAGCTCGTGGCTACAGAATTGCTCCTTGAAGGGCACAGGATGATGGTCAATCCTGCGAATCATACCCGAGTGGAAGTAAATTCTTTAGGTGTCAAAACCAAACCGAAGAGCAGAAGGGGATGAATGGTGGTTGCGAACTCATCTGGCAAATGGAAGTGGTATTAATGCCATAATTCTGATGCCGAGTGCTACTGAGATGTCACTACTTATCAGAGCCGCTTTGATGGAGCATTAGAGACCTGAAACATTGACCCTACTATCATCTTGGCACAGATATTGCCTGATCTGCTCTGTGTTTCCGGTGTCACAAAGTCTCCTCATTTCCAAGTGGGATTTTTTTGAAAAAATTCCGATAAAAGTAAACCTTTAAAGACTTGCAGTGGCATAACCATCAACCACCCGAAGCAGATCCTGTCATTGTTGCAAAGCTCACCTTTCCAATTTTCAGCTGCTTGATGAAGGTTGTCCTTTGGCTTTCTGCAGTTTGCCCATTCAGTGTTTCTCCTGCCTGGATTTGTAGGAAGAATGGAGATCATCATCAGACAGTACAAGAAAAAAATTAAAAAGCTAGTTGACAGCAACTCCCCCCTAACTTGCACATTGAGGCCAGTTACAGTCATAATCACACAGCATGGAAACAGACCCTTCAGTCCAGCCAATCATGCTGACCATAATCCCAAATTAAACTTGTCCCACCTTATCTGCGCTTGGCCCACATCCCTCCAAACATTTCTTATTTGTGTAATTATCCAATGTCTTTTAAACATTGTAACTGTACTCACAACCACCAATTCCTCTGGAAGTTCATTCCACACACGAAACACTCTCCACGGGAAAAATAAATTGCCCCTCGTGTCTTTTTTACATTTTCTCCTCTCCCCTTAAAAATATGCCCCCTAGTCTTGAAATCCCTCACCCTAGGGAAAAAGACACCTGCCATTCACCTTATCTATACCCCTCATAATTTTATAAATGTCTATAAAGGTCACCTCTCAACCTCCTATGCTCCAGTGAAAAAAGTCCCAGCCCATCCAGCCTCTCCTTATAACTCAAACCCTCCATTCCCGGCAATTTGAAGAATTAAGGTCATAGCAAAATAATTCTCACCAAAAACATTACAGAATCATTTTTAATTCACTCATAGGACATGGGTGCCTCTTAAGGCCAGCATTTATTATCCATCCCTAATTGCAGCTGAAACGGTACTGATGAACTGCTTTCTTGAATACAGTAGATTGGCTTGTAAGACCAATTTGGAGAGCAGTTCATAGACAATCACATTGTGGTATGACTGGAATCAAATGCAGACCAGACCCAGTAAGGATGGCAGATTTCCTTCCTTAAGAGTAAATAATTGGTGACAAACAGTAGTTTCATGGTCACCATTTCAGATTCTGGCTTTTTATTCCAGATATATTTAACTAATTCAGTTTAAATTTTGCAGCTATCATGTTGGAATCTGAGCTCTTGTACCCAGGATCATTAGCTCAAAACTGCAGATCACTCGGCCAGTAACATAACCAGTACACAATCACACAATTAGATTGCAATTTTATGGCTAATTGCACATTATCTACCAAATGTACTAACGTTAGTGTTTTTTCACTCGAAGGCTTTGTGATGGTTTTCATTGTTATTCTGCCTAGATTGCGAGGATCACTTAGCTGTTCAACCACCAACAGCATCACATCCCATGTCTTCACTGGAATTCTACAGTTATGCCTTTCCCAACTGTGTTCAACAGACCATTTGGAATCATCTTCAGCATCCATTACGTGTAGGAGCAGGTTTGAGGCCATTCAGCCCATCAAGTCTGCTCTGTCATTCAACAAGATCATGGCTGATGTGATAGTCTTCAACTCCAATTTCCTGCCTTTTCCCCTATATTTCTCGATTACTGATCAGAATTTTGTCTATCTCAATCTTCAATATTTTTAACAATCCAGCATCTACAACCCTCTGCAGTAAAGAATTCTATAGATTCACTACCCTCAGAAAAAAGAAATCCTCTTCATCTTTATAAAAACCGAAAGGACTGCGGATGCTGTAAATCAGGAACAAAAACAAAGTTGCTGTAAAAGCTCAGCAGGTCTGGCAGCATCTGTGAAAGAAAAAACAGAGTTAACGTTTCAGGTCTGTGTTCTGAGGAAGGGTCACCGGACCCGAAACGTTAACTCTGTTTTTACCTTCACGGATGCTGCCAGACCTGCTGAGCTTTTCCAGCAACTTTGTTTTTGCTCCTCTTCTTCTTTGTCTGAAACAGGCATTCCTTTACACTAAGACTATGTTCTCCAGTCCCACAAGGACTCTCCCTCATGGTGAAATAACCTCTGCACATTTACGCTATCAAGACCGCTGAGATTCTAACATGTTTCTAAAACATCTCATCCTTCTAAACTCTACTGAGTACAAGTTCAACCTACTCAACCTTCCTCATAATAAAATCACTCAATACCTAGAATCAACCTAGTGAACCTTCTCTGAACAGCCTTCAGTGCGAGTATATCTTTCCTTGAATAAGGGAACCAAGATTGTTCACCATATTCTGGATGTGGTATGACTTGTACAGTTATAGACAGACTTCTCAATTTTTTCAGTTCATTCCCTTTAAGATAAAAGCCAACATTCAATTTGCCTTCTCTATTACCTGAACTTGGATATCAGCTTTTGGAGATTTATGCGTGATTTTTCTCAGAGAGTTGTTCGTATGTGGAATGAACTGCCAAAGGAAGTGGAGGGCGCAAGTACAATTACAACATTTTAAAAGAAATTTTGGCTAGGTACATGAATAGGAATGGTGTAGAGGGATATGGGCCAAATGCCGGCAAGTGGGACTAGTTTAGTTTGGGAAACTTGTTTGGCATGGACAATTTTGGACCAAAGGGTCTGTTTCCATGCTGTATGACTCTATGATTCAAATCCCTCTGTGCTGCAGCTTTCTGCAGTTGGTCTCTATTTAAATAATATTCAGCTCCTCTATTCTTCCTGCACGTGTTCATAATCCCAAATTTTTGCCCACTCACTTAACCTGTCTATATCCCTGTGCAGACTACTTGTACCATCTTCACCACTTGTCTACCTATTTTTGTGTCATCCACAAACTGGGCTAATGTACATTCACTTGCATCATCAAAGTCATGAATATTGCAAATTAATGTGGCCCCAGCACTGATTGCTATGCAACTCCTCTAGTTACAGGTTGCCTGCATGAAAATGTCCCCATTGACCCAACTCATTGTCTTCTTTTAGCTAGCCAATCCTCTATCCATTGTAATGTACCAGCCCCAACACCACAGGCTCCTACCTTATTAAGATACATGCAACACCTTAACAAATGAGCCTTTTGTAAATCCTAACTGATTCCCCTTTATCAACCTGCCTGTTACCTTCTCAAAGAATTGTATTAAGTTTGTCAGGCGCGATTTGCCCTTCAGGAAGCACACTGACTCTACTTGATCGTACTATGTACTTCTAAATAATCTGCTTTTATCTTTTATAATAGACTCTAAAATTTTCCAATGACAGATGTTAAGCCATCTGGCCTACAGTTACCTGGTTTTTGGCTTCCTTTTTGAATAAGGGCGTTACATTGGCAGTTTTCCAATTTTCTGGGCCATTTTCAGAATATAAAGATTCCTGGAAGATTGCTACCAGTGCATTCAATATTTCTGTAGCGACTTCCTTTAATATCCTGGGAGGCAACCCATCAGGGGCAGGGGACTTATCAGTCTTTAGCCCATTAGTTTCCCTAGTACTTTTTCCTCTAGTGATAGTTATTATATTTACTGCCTCCCACTTTTACCCTTTGATTTTCAGAATACTATTAGTGTCCTCTCCCGTGAAGACTGATGTGAAGTATTCATTCAGCTCCTCTGCCATTTCCTGGATCCCCATTATTATTTCCCCAGCTTCATCCTTCAAGAGATCTGTGGCCTCTCTCTTTTTATATATTTAAAGAAGCTCTTATTTTAAGAACATTGTATGTAGGATTCTTCAGCTTCTGTGCAACAAGTGTCACCAATCTAAGATTTTGGAGTAGATTTGTGGGTTGGCTTGCCAAACTGGTTTGTTGTTCCACAGACATTTCATTACCATGCTGGGTAACATAATCAGTGCAACCTCTGACGAAGCGCCGGTGTGTTTTCCCACCTGGTTTTAAACTCTGGAGTCTGTTCAGCTGGATTGCCTCACTTCCAGTTTTCCTTCGTAGTGGAGTGTATAGGGGGCCGAGTTCTATGTGGAACAACACCAAAATCCTGGGACAAGCTAAGCAGAGACAGACACGGGAATTCCTAGAAGCCTGGTACTCCACGAAGAAAGCCATCAACAAATACATAGTACTCAACCCTGTATACACTCCACTACGAAGGAAACCCGGAAGTGAGGCAATCCAACTCAACGGACTCCAGAGTTTAAAAACCAGGCGGGAAAACACACCGAAGCTTCATCAGAGGCTGCACTGAGGATGTTACTCAGCAGGGTAACAAAACATCTGCGGTACAACAAACCAGCTCGGCGAGCCAACCAACCTCAACACTGTCACCAATGTTAACTGGAATGAATGGTCAGAGGGCTGCTCACCTTGGTACAGTTCTCACACACCACGTCTTTGATATACTCTGAAGAGATAAAGTGTTGCAAGCAGAGGTCCAGGGTCACAGGTCTGCCCTGCAGGGGTATAAAACAGGTCATTTCAAACCAGAGTTGACTCCCACAATCTTCACATTAATATAGGCACCATTAGCCTTCATAATCATGTCAGAAAAGTGTGGGATAACAAATATTCAATTCACTTTCTAGTTTCAGTGAACTGAGCAAGTAATTAGCTTAAATAAAGACAGGAAGCTCTGGAAAAACTCAGGTCTGGCACTTCTGATGAAGACCCGTTAAATTTGAAGTATAAACACTGATTCTCTCTCCACAAATGCTGCCAGATGTACTGAGTTTCTCTAGCACTTTGATTTATTTTTATTCATTCACAGGATGAGGGCATCACTGGCCAGGCCACCATTTATTGCCAGTCCCTAATGCCCAGTGGGGGGCAGTTAAGTGTCAACCACATTGCTGTACGTGGGGAGTCACATGTAGGCCAGGCCAGGTAAGGACTGCAGCTCCCTTCCTCAAGGGAGTGAATCAGATGGGTCTTTTCAACAATCGACAATGGCTTTGTGATCTTCATTAGACTCCTAATTCCAGATTTTTATTGAATTCAGATGCCATGGCAGGATGCAAACCCAGGTCCCCAGAACATGGGTCCCTGGGTCTCTGGATTAATAATCTAGTGATAATACCACTAGGCCATCACTTCCCCAATGTATTTCAGATGTCCAGAATCCACAGTTTTTGCTTTTATTTAAGTAAATAGCTTATTCTGCTTCCTCCATCTGCACTTCTCAACCACCCTTTACCCATTCAAACTATGACAACATATCCAATGAGAAGTGCACTAAAGGAGTTATTTACTTGATAAGGCAGGTGAGCCTTGAGAGGTGCATATTTTCACAAAATGTAAATCTAAATGTTAACAACTCCTTTTGAATTAGCACTGTCAACATTCACAACTGAAAATGCCTACAGACGCAACTACAATGGAAAAACCTCAACAACACAAGTGATACTTGATAATGGGAAATCTGTAATTAGATTCCTGTCACAATGCAGTTACACATATATAGCCACTAGGATGCAGTATGACACAAATAAAGAATGACTTGCAACTATATAGCACCTTTCAGGGTCTCAGGCTATTTACAACCAGTTCAGGGCTTTTTGAAGCGCAGTCAATGCTGAAATGTAGGAAATATTGTAATGACAGGATCCAAACACATCTACCACAGGTGAAACCTTACATTCAGTTTTCCAATTTTAAAAAAAGAAGTTATTTTGATTAAATCCCATCGTTTTGCTCTTGTCATGGCTCCTTTTTGCTGCTATATTACCACTTTCTTCGGCACCCTTCAAAGCTTTGTAGCACTCTATCCCCCACCAACCCCTCCTGTCCTACCTCTGCTGTTCCTGCTCTTGCAGTCTCACTTCACCGATCTCCCTGAACCTGTCTCAGACTGCAAGCTGGCCCTATTTCACTGTCTCTAGTCCAAAGTCAGGCATCCAGCTGAACTGTCCAACGCCAGTTCTGACTGTAAAACCAACTCACTTTCTCCTTAGCGGTCTCTAGGACTAAACTTGGAAAGCGGTTGTTTATTTTAACACATTTATCACAACATCATTAACTTAGAAGAAAAAATGTTACAATTGTAGACTGCATTTCCCCATCTTAGAAGGTCCCAAAGCACTTTACAGATAGCAAAGAACTTTTGAACCGTAGTGATTGTCACCTGCATCAGCAAGTCCCCACAAACAGCACTGTCATAATAACTAGACAATCTGTTTCTATGATGTAGCTGGAGGACTCATACAGGCCACAGCACTGGGGCAAACTTCTGCTCCTCATCAAAGAAAAATAGCAAGAGGCCTTTGTGGTCCACCTGAGAAGGCAGACATCTCATCTGAGAAACACCCCTGCCCAATAGGACAGTACTGCACAGGAGAGTAAGCCTAGAGTTCTATTCTTCAGTCTCTGAAATGGTTTACAGTTCTATATGATATGGAAGCACAACATTTTAAATATAATCAGCACAAACTAAACTGCAGACAGTACATACCCACGTGACTGTTGGAATGCTGAGAGAGAGACTGTCAAATGTGTCGTACCTCACGGGACTCTGATAAGAAAATGCAAAGCCAGTGATAATGTTTTGAAGTTCCTGCAGTAGATTCTTCCTGATGCTACTGGTTCAAATAACATATTCTAGTCAGACAGGGAAGGGAGGGCAGTAGTGATCCACCTCTCTCCCCTATGGCCCCCAATCTTTACCTGCAATCTTAACAAACCCATTTTGTTCCAAGATCCTAAAGTCTGAATTTCAGCTCACTGTCGGCACAGCGAATACCAGAGAAAGAGAAACAGCAGGCCGAGCAAACAAAATGAAGCAAAAACCACCTTGCATTGAACTTGCATTACAGGAGGTCCAAACTGAATCATAGCTCAGTATTGTTGCTTTCAAAAACAGATAGCAAGTGTCCTGGTCTTCTGTACAAGGCAGGAACATTTGTACAGGCTGTTCTTTTAGAATTACAAAGTTGGTACAAATTATGATGATATTTGACAAGCTAGAGGTTGAGAAGATGCAGCCACTTGCAGGCGAGTTGAAAATTGGAAGCCTCACTCCACTGCAGAGACTGTAAGAATGTCACTGTTAAGTTCCTCAACGAATTCAGGGGAATGCTCTTTAACCAATGCGCTTAGAATATGGAATGCCCTACCACTAAAGATAAGTGCAGTGCTACCGTAGATGCATAGAAAAGGGAGTTGAACAGGAGGGAAAAATGAATGGGAGGTTTTGGAATTGGGGTGAAGGTGGGAGGAGACTATGATGGAGCATGAACACTGGCTAAGACCAGCTGATCTGAATGGCCTGTTCCTGGGCTAATTCTGCTCTGATAGGGTCACTTGCAATAGTGATAGGGAACAAGTCAATCATCCACAATTCTCTTCTCTGCCTTCATTATCATGCACAAGGATTTTTAATGGGAGTTAGTCCAATAAAGCTGGTGAGAGCCAGTTAATAAGGAGCAGAAGGCTTGGAATGGATTGTTCCCCAGTTTAGGCTCCTTCAGCCTGAAGAACAAGTGTAGAGTTACAACACGTCCACTGCATGATGGAATATACACCACTGACACTTAGAAGCCAGCACGTGTACGGATGTCAGCATTTACATTTTGAATATCTGATTTTAACGATGGCGAAAGAAACAAAATTCAGGTGGGGAACCTCATTTGATAAATAAAATGGGCAAATGAGAAACTCAAAAACGTGTGTATGTGCACGTGTGTGTGTGTTTATATGTGCGTCTATGTACGTGTGTGCGTGTGTTTTTGTGCGTGTGCGTGTGTTTTCGTGCGTGCGCGTGTTTTCGTGCGTGCGCGTGTGTTTTCGTGCGTGCGCGTGTGTTTTCGTGCGTGCGCGTGGTTTCGTGCGTGCGCGTGGTTTCGTGCGTGCGCGTGGTTTTGTGCGTGCGTTTTTGTGTGTGCGCATGTGTGCGTGCGCGTGTTTGCGTTGTGTGTGTGCGCGCTTTTGCGTGTGTGCTTTTGCGTGTTTGTGTGTGTGTGTTTTTGTGTGTGCGCGTGTGCGTGCGCGCGCGTGTGTTTGTGTTTTTGTGTGTGTGCGCGTGCGCTTTTGCGTGTGTTTTTGTGTGTGTGTTTTTGTGTGTGTGTGTTTTTGTGCGTGCGCGTGTGTTTGTGCGTGCGCGTGTGTGTTTGTGCGTGCGCGTGTGT